CCTCTCCCTATCAGTGGGAACTAGCCAAAACGCATGACGGGCCAACTCAGAAAATTCCATTTCGTACTGCATCACAATCATATCATCCTGACGCAACTGCTCGAACTGTCTGCGCAGCTCCTCTCTGCGAGACTACGGCACATACTTCTCCAAGAAAAGAACAGAGAACTCCTGCCATGTAAGTGGCGCTGCACCAACCGGCCTACGCCTCTCATAAGCCTCCCACCAAGTTAAGGCAGCTCCAGTGAACTGAAAAGTAGTGAATGAGACCCCACTGGTCTCCAGAATACCTGTTGTACGGAGGATCCTCTGATATCTGTCCAAGAAACCCTGGGCATCATCTCCCTCTGCACCACTAAAAGACGGAGGCTGGAGTCTCCCAAACCTCTCCAATCTACGCTGCTCATCATCAGGCATGACAGGAACCACATAGTCCAGAGCTGCTGCAACCGGCTGGGCTAGTGGTGCTCCCGGTGTCTGGAGTCCCTGCACCACCTGCTCGGGTGTGCGGGCGGCGGGAGTCTGAGTGCCTCCCCCAGCTTGAGAAGTGGCTTCTTAAGTAGAAACAGAGATCGCCTGAGCAGGACTTGTGCACACGGTCAGAATCTGAGCTAAGGCCTCCTGAAGGCCTGGATCACGATGGGCACAGCTGGTGCCTGAGCTGGTCTCGCTGGTGCATCTACAACTGGGACCTGATCCTGAACTGGGGCAATGGGTGGATTTGCAGGTGCTACCCTTGCTGATGTGCGGACTGCACTCTGCCCCTGCCACGGCCTCTACCGCGACCTCTACCGCGACCTCGGCCTCTCGCGGCCCTGACTGGTGGCACTGGAGGCTGTCCGTCCTTCCCAATAGCACGTGTCCTCACCATCTGTGAGAGAATAGAATAACAGAAGTTTAGTTACCAGAATCAACAGATTCACACGACAAGAATTCAAGAATGTGAAGTTTCATAAGGGTTCTGCAGCCTCTCGAACATATATATAGACGTCTCTGTACCGATCCGCAAGACTCTACTAAACCCGCTCATGACTCGTGAGACCTATGTAACCTAGGCTCTGATACCAACTTGTCACGACCCAAAATCGACCGTCATGATGACGCCTATTGTGGAACAAGGCCAGCCTTAACTTAACAACCCATCATAGCAACAATAAGTTTGAAATTAAAAACGGAAGCATTTAACATTTAAAGAAACCTTTTTGAAAACATAATAAATCCCAAAATACGGTACAATCCAGCCCAAAACCGGGGTGTCACTGAGTACATGAGCGTTTAAATCAGAATACAGTCCACTACAGTGTCTAAAGAAATAAACTAAAAAAATGACAAACGATGTCAAGGCCTGCGAACGCCGTGCAGCTACCTTAATAGTCTCCAAACTCTGAAATCTCAATCAGCAACCGCCGCCGCGACCGAAATCGCCTGGATCTGCACACGAGGTAGGGCTGTGCACGGATCGGATTGGATCAGATTTAGCACATTTCGGATTTCGGATTCTAGAAAATGCAATCCGAATCTGATCCGAATTATATCGGTTCGGATCGGATTTTAAAGTTTGCATCGGATTGGATTTCGGATTGTATTATTATGCCTCAAAGTTGCAAACTAATATGTATGTTTCTTTGTAAAAGAGGCAATACATTAAGAAAAATTCATGTTTATGCAATTATGAGAGTAGTATGGTGCCACTATAGCTAAATCCAGCAATTGTAAAGGTAATAGCTTGGAGGAAGATGTAAAGGAAGTACTGACTATCCAAAATTAAAGCGTAGTATTTATACATGCCCTAATAATTTCGGATTTCGGATCGGATCGGATTAAAATATACTAATCCAAATCCGATCCGAAATCCGAAATTTTAATAAACACAATCCAAAATCCGATCCAATCTGAAATCCGAAATTAAACGGATCAGTTCGGATTTCAGATATCCGATCCGAATGAACAGCCCTAACACGAGGTGCAGGGAGTAACGTGAGTACACCAACTCAGTAAGTAACGAGTCCAAACTTTGGACTGAAAGGTAGTGACGAACTCAACCAGTACAGATAAAAACAGAAATAATTGTGCAGAATCGTAGGCATGCTTTCAATTTAATAGGCAGCTCAAAACAGTAAAGTAGAGCAGATAGGAACAATGTAATGAATATGACTCTGCTACCTCTACATACCAATGCACATGCTGTATGTAATGCACCATGTTGTCAGCCTCATGTGCTCACACTCTCAAATACTCAACCACTCGGTATTGTACATGGCTCATACGGCCCAGGGAAGATCCATATATATATATATATATATATATATATATATATATATATATATATATATCACTGAAAACATTCATTCAGTACCGAGGAAGGCCAATCCAGCCCTATGGAGAAGATCTATCTCCAGGTATAAAATGTTTCGGACAAGATACATGTCCAGGAAAGATCCATCCCCCAATAATATCAACTGCGCTCACTGGGGGTGTGTACAGACTCTGGAGGGGCTCCTACAGCCCAAGCGCTATCACAAATCAATATAACCGCTGCGGAACTGTCACTCATAATCAGGCTCTCGGCCTCACTCAGTCATCAATCTCTCCAGTCTCACCCACGGGCTCACAATGTCATGAAAGCGAACCCGGAACAATGATATGATGTATCAATAAATAACAACTGAGACTTAGATGTGATATAAAAATGCATGAATATGACTGAGTACAGAATATCAATGAAATCAGTGAGATGACAGCAAGAAACGACCACTAGGGGCCTCAACAGTACCGGCATAAAGCCTAAACATGATATCTAGCATGATTGACACCTCAATTACTTTACCACATGATAAAAACAGGGATATCAACAAGATAGAGTCACTATACGGTGCCATGGAGTCAACTAGGTCAAAATTTTCACAGTGCACGTCGCACGCCCGTCACTTGGCATGTGCGTCACCTCAATACCAGTCACATAACACATAATTTGGGGTTTCAAACCCTCAGAACCAAGTTTGAAAGCATTACTTACCTCAATACGGGTAAAAATCCTACTCCGCAATGCCTTTGCCCCCTAAATCGGTCTACAGATGTACCGAATCTAGTCACAAGTAGTACAATACAATCAATAAAGGCTAAAGGGATCAATTCCACAAGAAAACCACTAAATTATAGCCAAAATCTGATATCGGCTCAAACCCGGCCCCCAGGCGCACGTCTCGAATTCCAACAAAAGTCATAAACCCCGAAAGCCCATTCACTCACGAGTCTAACCATACTAAATTTATCATAATCTGACATCAAAGGTTACACAAATCCCCAAAATTCATTCTCTAAAACCCTAGCCTCAAACCCCAAATTTCACCTCAACACCACACAATCTAGGCGGGAAAATCAATGGGAAAACAAGATTTATGATCAAAAACGAGTACAGGAAGCTTACCTCAAAAATCCTCTCGAAAATCCTCTCCAAAATCGCCTAAGTCCGAGCAAAATGTTGAAATAAGACTAAAATTGCGAACCCTTGTTTTTAAACATTCTGCCCAGGCTTTTCGCACCTACGGCTCCATAGCTGCATTTGCGGTCAAAGCTCCGCTTTTGCGAAAAATCACTTAAACCACTGCCTCCGCTTCTGCGATCAACATACCGCATCTGCGCGCATCACAGGTGCGGAAACCACATCGCACCTGCGGACCACACTCGCACATGCGCTCCACTGCCCGCTTCTGCGACCATCGCATGTGCGGGAAAGCCTTCGCACCTGCGGACTCAATCGCTTCTGCGATCCAAGCCACGCTTCTGCGGGCTCGCACCTGCGGTGCCCACTTCGTAGGTGCGGTTACACAAGAAGCAGCAGCACTGCATTCTTCAACTCAAACTCAAGTCGTTAACCACCGGAAATCACCCCGAGGCCCTCGGGACCTCAACCAAATATACCAATAAGTCCTACAACCCGATACGAACTTAATCAAATTCTCAAATCACCTCAAACAACATCAAAAACACGAATTACACACGGATTGAAGCCTAATGAACTTTGAAATTTCCAAAATCTACGAACAACGTCAAAACCTATCAAATCACGTTCGATTGACCTCAAATTTTGCACACAAGTCATAAATGACACCATGGACCAAGTCCAACTTCCGAAAATCCAATCCGACCACGATATCAAAATTTTCACTACCGGTCAAATTCGCCAAATTTCCAACTTCCGCCAATTCAAGCCTAATCCTACTACAGACCTCCAAATCACAATACAGACGTGCTCCTAAGTTCGAAATCACCTAACGAAGCTAACGAAACAATCAAAATCCAAATCCGAGGTCATTTACACATAAGTCAACATCCGATCAATATTTCCAACTTAAGTTTTCAATTAAGAGACTAAGAATCTCAAATCATTCGGAAATCACCCCGAACCTGAACCAACTAATCCGATAAGTCATAACACAGCTGAAAGATACAAGAGAAGCAAAAAATAGGAGAACGGAGCTACAACTCTCGAAACGCCCTGTCGAGTCATTACAAAATGTTAAGGACATGGTGTCCTTAACTTCATGTGTGCAGTGTAAATGTTAAGGACATAGTGTCCTTAACTTTATACGTGTTGTGTAAATATTAAGGACATGGTATCCTTAACTTCATGAATGTTGTGTAAATATTAAGGACAAAGTGTCCTGTATTTGCAACTTCCGTTGTTAAGCTTTAGGACATCATGTCCTTAACTTCATATGTGCAGTGTAAATGCTAAGGACATGACGTCCTTAACTTCATGTGTGCAGTGTAAATGTTAAGGACACCATGTGCTTAATATTTACACAACATTCGTGAAGAAAGGGTAAAAATAACTTTTCATATTAATTTTAGTGGAGTAGTGGCTATTTTTGCTCAGCATTAAAAATACTGGATAAAAACTAAACACCATGTTAAAAAGTGGCTATCCCACGCAATTTCTAAGTCATTGTTAGTGTTGAAAATGTAAATCACTGACATCAGACTTCAAAGAACAATCATGAGGGGGAAAAAATAAGCTTCTTTACTGGAACAAGGATTTCCTTCTTTCAACCAAGAGTAATGTACATCAACTTCATCTTTACATAGCACTTATTCGTTGATGAGAAGGTCAGATTCAGTTTCTACTGGTAAATTTAAGATGGTTCAGTATTAGAGCTTTGGAAATTTAACCTTTTAAACCTCCAAATGCATCTCAGTATCATCCATAAATGACTGACCAAAAACTTATCCAAAAGTGGATACAACTAAGAGCCTAAGAAATAGGATGCGAGATATGGCAACCCCATCGGCCCCATTAGACAAATGATTTGTGGGTATCTTAAGAGGTGGGATTTAAAGCAAGCAAACGAGGACCTCATCGTCCAACTGCCTGAGCCACCAAGAGATATGTTGTGTTCTCGCACCTGGAAATGTGTGTTAGAATCGCACAGATCACCAAGGTACATATTGTACGTATCTGATAGACCACGACTCAGATTCAGCTAATTACCAGGCCCAAAAGAATTGCAGCCAAATCCCGGCTACAGCCAGAAATCTCTTTAGGAAGTCACAGAACCAACTAGCTTGAAACTTCCAGCTCTTCCTCCTTGCTCTTTTGGTTTCTGATCCTCTCTGATTGAGAAACAAGCAGCTCATGAACTCTATTCTTCAACTGCAAAAACCCAAAGAATATGTCAGAACATACTAAGGAGAAAGTTAGCTTCAGGGAAATAATTTACTACCTACCTCATGCTGACTATTGAGTTCTATAGCCTATAGGATGAACTCTTAGAAACTATAGATAGTGAGTATCAGCTAGTAAAAAGTTAAAAGCTCGTAGAGCCATGTTTTTGTCTCTGACTCTGCTACTCCTAAATCATTATAGAAACACAGTAATTTTCACTGATAACTTCAAATAGGAGCTCCCAAGCTCTGAACCTTTTGTCCAACGTGAAAAGACTAGCAACTTGTCAGAATAATCATATTCTGTTGTCAGGGGGAAAAGGTTCAACTGTCAGAAAAGCAACAAAACACTGCTGAATAAACTATTACTACAACAAGCATAAGACTCTCGTCACCCCAGGTACAATGAGAAGACAAGAGAAAAGTCATAAAATTAGTGGATGTTCTTGAGTACATGTTCAAGTTTTAGACGATAGCAGTCACATGCACAACTTGACCATTTGAAATCTCTCAGACCTGCCATTCAATAGCAACCAATGTAGAGAATAATCATACAGGGGGATTTGCATCTTCCAAGGATCATATATGGTCAACTTATTGCCAATAAGATGTATAATACATCATCTCAACTGCGAGATGAATTCCCAAATTATGTTTAAGTTCTAAAACTTGTATTTTGTGACGTTTCGGAAACTCATACAGGTTTAAGTTAAATAACCTGCTCAGTAATCTATAAGATGGCATATAAGGGTAACAGAATGGTACCTCATGAAGACCAATCTCATTCTTGACTGACACATGTAACGCTCCATCAGGTCCCATTGTCCTATACCTCACCAGCTCAACGTCATCAATATTACATTCATCTGTTGCAAAGATGACAGGAGATGCTTGCAGCAAGTCACATTTGGACACGATATCAAGCCAAATGTGGCTACTGAACCTCTCTCTCATTTCCTTATAGATCAAAAACTGCAGAAGCGATAGTTAGCAATCAACCCTCTCTACAATATGAGAAACTAGAGAAGTTTGAAAAAATAATTGGTTGTAGCAAAAACCAGTATCACAAAGCTTATTGACATTCTCCTAAGCTTTCAAGATTATTGAAGAACATTCATAATTCTCCATGTTTGGGGAAGGACCGCCCCAACCCCCTATCAAACAGAAGGAACAAGAAAACAAAAGAATAAAGGAGTTTGCTGAGTGTTCACTGGAAGCTCTTATATCAGTGCAGCTACTAATTTACATTCTACTAGCTCGTAACCCACTCTCATTTGATCCATCTTATCATTACCTGGAGAAAATAGCTTTTAATAAAACACCAATATGCAAGTTCTAGCATGTCAACTTTCTGGGCGTATAGGCTCTACTAGTTCATGACCACTCCCATATGATCCATCTTCTCATTACTGGAGAATCAGATAAAATAGCTTTTTAAGATCACCAATATGCAAGTTCTAACACGTTAACGTCTTCTTGCACAATTACTTCAGATATATAATAGATCTCAACCTCCAGGTTCAACAATTCTGGTATAGAAGAATAATGAATCCATCTCTTCTCTAGAGTACTTGAAGATCAGAATTCCAGTTATAGACAAAACATAGAAAGCATTGGAGGTACCTGATCAGAAGGTGACATCCCACATTCTCCGGATAAATCATGAACATAAAGTACTGCAGTCGGCAAATGAGTGAGAACAGCGAGTGTTAACTTTTCCAAGTTATTCCTGTCCTCTGCAGGTTCAATCAAAATAAAGAAAATTTGTGAAAAATAAATATAAAATGATAGAGAAGTAATCCATGACCACAAAACACAAGAGTCCAGATTACAAGAAATTTAGAGAATTATGAGTAATGCTCTCGCCTTTGCTGAGCAGCATAGCAAAAAGAAAACCATACAACAACAACATACCCAGTGTGATCCCACAAGTGAGGTCTGGGGAGGGTAGAGTATACGCAGACCTTACCCTTACCTTTAAGAAGGCAGAGAGGCTGTTTCCGGTAGACCCTCGGCTCAGGAAGAGAAAAGGGGAGGGGCAATAACAAGCAAACCGATCTGACAACCGAAGCGAAAAATAGAAAACTAGCAATAGGTAATGCAATCAGAATACCGAAACAAAAGACAATAGCAAGTAGTAACAGAGGTCCAGGGATACAAAAAAAATACGAAAGACACCAAGTGGCGTATCAAAGCTACTGTACAAACAAGGACAACACTCGGCTACCTAATCCTTTACCTTTATTCTTAACCTCCACACTTTCCTATCCATGGTCATGTCCTCAGTAAGCTGGAGCAACGCCATATCTTGCCTAATCACCCTCCCCAATATTCCTTCAGCCTGTCTCTACCTCTCCGTTGGCCCTCCAATGCCAGCCTCTCACACCTCCTCACCGGAGCATCAAAGCCTCTCCTCTTCACATGGCCAAACCATCTAAGTCTCGCCTCCCGCATCTTGTCCTCCACAGGGGCCACACCCACCTTGTCCCGGATAACTTCATTTCTAATTTTATCTAACCTGGTATGCCCTCACATCCACCTCAACATCCTCATCTCAGTCACCTTCATCTGCTGGACATGGGAGTTCTTGACTGGCCAACACTCCACCCCATACAGCATAGTCGGTCTGACCACCGCTCTGTAGAACTTACCTTTAAGTTTTGGTGGCACATTCTTATCACACAGAACACCGGAAGCGAGTCTCCATTTCATCCATCCTGCCCCAATACGGTGTGTGACATCCTCGTCAATCTCCTCATTCACTTGTATAACAGACCCAAGGCATTTAAAACTTTCTCTCCTAGGGATGACTTGTGAATCAAGCCTCATGTCTTCGTCCACTTCCTGAGTCGCGTCACTGAACTTGCATTCCACGTATTCTATTTTGGTCCTGCTCAACTTGAAACCTTTAGACTCCAGGGTCTGTCTCCTGAACTCTAACCTCTCGTTAACACCACATCGTGTCTCGTCAATCAGTACAGTGTCAGATGCAAATAACATGCACCACGGCACCTCCCATTGAATGTGACGCTTCAGCGCGTCGATCGCCAAGGCAAACAGAAATAGGCTGAGGGCTGACCCCTGATGTAGCCCCATCACAACCAAGAAGTGTTCTGAGTCCTCCCACTGTCCTCACCCGAGTCTTAGGACCATCGTACATGTCCTTAATAGCCCTAATATATGCAACAGGAACACCTCTAGCCTCCAAACATCTCCACAGCACCTCTCTCCGCACTTTATCGTAAGCCTTCTCTAAGTAGATGAACACCATATGTAGATCCCTCTTCCTCTCTCTATACTGCTCCATCAACCTCCAAACAAGGTGAATAGCTTCTGTAGTCGAACGCCCCGGCAAAAATTCAAATTGGTTCTCTGAAATAGACACAATCTTCCTCACCCTAAGCTCCACCACCCTCTCCCATACTTTCATAGTATGGCTCAGTAGCTTGATATCCCGATAGTTGTTGCAATTTTGGATATCACCCTTGTTCTTATACAACGGGATCATCGTACTCCATCTCCATTCCCCGTGCATCTTCTTCGTCCTAAAAATGACATTGAATAGCCCAATTAGCCATTCCAAGCACGCCCTACCACGCTCTTCCAGAATGCCACCGGGATTACGTCTGGCCCGGTCGCTCTCCCCCTGCTCATCTTACGCATAGCCCCCTCTACCTCCTCAACTTTTATACGCCTGCAATACCCAAAGTCCCGACGACTCTCGGAGTTCTCTAAGTCACCCAGCACAATGTTCCTATCCCCCTCTTCGTTTAGGAGTTTATGGAAGTACGTCTGCCATCTCTGTCGAATCAGAGCCTCGTCTAACAACACTCTACCTTCCTCCTCCTTGGCGCACTTCACTTGGTCCAAGTCATGGGCCTTCCTTTCTCGCACCTTGGCTAACCTGTACAGCTTCTTGTCCCCTCCCTTGCCGCAGTAACTGCTAACTTCGCTTCCTTCTTAGCCACATTATATCGCTTCCTTCTTAACCACATTATATCGCTCCCTATTCGTCCTCTTCTCCTCCTCGTCCATGCTCTCCAAAAGCTTCAAATAAGCCACATTCTTGGCTTCCATTTTACCTTGGACCTCAGTGCTCCACCACCAGTCCCCTTTGCGGCTCATAAAAGGAAATTTACATTTATACTTATTCCAGACAACTTTCCATCACTAGAGTTATTGTAATGAAGAAACTGAGTAACGCCTTCTCATCTCAAACTAGACTATCTGATTCTCCTTTTTCTTTTTTACCTTTTTTTTTTTTTTTTTGCACGAAGTAGCTTGTTACTTGAACAAGCAAAATTGCGACTATTAATACAATAATTTTTCAGAGATCTAAGTAACACACATAAATATTTTTGCACGCAAAGAAGGTACAATTTCTATGAATAGTATACCAAGTTCTAATATAACTAATTCACAAACACATAATGTTTTCCGGAAATGAATCTGGTTTCCTACAAACAATCATTTCACTTACAAAAGCGACAATGTGTCATCAGCTTCTTTGTAAGATGTGGGAGAAAGCAAAGCAATTCAGAGAAACAATTATCCGCATTATGCAAATGGTAAACGAACAAGAGTTTTTACCATCAGATCTCCTTAAGATACCAGGGGTATCAGTAACCTGAAGATACAAATGCTTAATCAGTAAAATAGCAGAAGAAACAGAAAAGGAAAGAAGCATTAAGGAAGCATTTCCACTTTGAGAAAAAGACTAACCTGAAAATTCTGGTAGCTCAAAGTAATATGACCCATCAGAATTCCTCTAGTTGTGAAGGGATAGTTGCAGATCTGACAATATACAGTGACATTACTGGCAACTCAATCAAAGAAAACAATGTGATGAAAAGATGCAATCAACTGTTACTTGAGAACTTTCTATAGAGTTGGTAGGGGTATGCAAGAAAAGTATGTATAGCTGAGGATTTAGTTATCGACAAAACATTGAACCAAATTCCATAAGATGTTTGACTTATTCGTAAAGCTGTAGATAAGTATCCCTCAAATTCATCTGTCTACCAATGCATCCATGCGTACGATATTGCCAAACTAGTAAGAGATATGCATAATATAAGCCAGATAAAATTGCTGATGAAGTAACAATCCATAAGATGTTTGACTTATTCGTAAAGCTGTAGATAAGTATCTCTCAAATTCATCTGTCTACCAATGTATCCATGCGTATGATATTGCCAAACTAGTAAGAGATATGCATAATATAAGCCAGATAAAATTGCTGATGAAGTAACAATCCTTTTGGTTACAGGGAAGCATGATAAGAAAGAGGACACACAATTGATTGGTAATAATCATTAGTTGTTATGACCATATCTAATTGCTCCATAAGCTTGCATCTCATTGTTTGTCTTCCTCTTCTATTGACTTTTTCCTTACTATTAATTGTACACATACTAACACTTGAGACCTGAGTTAGCAGAACTAAATGCAGGCAGAGTTTTAAAGAGCATTTGGAGGCAAGCCAAGTTTCAGAATAAGAAGCTTCTTCTGACCCCAAGTTAAAAACCACAGTTTTAAAAACTGGTACTCTATCTTCCTTTTCTTTAACATTTAGTAATTCTGGAAAATTCGCCTTCCTCAAGAGCATATTATGAGATGGTTTTAATTCTCTAAGTAAGATAGGTGAAAACCCTAATCCCAGGAAAAAAAAGGTAAAAATGGAAAGAAAGCTAACTGAGTACATACCTCAGGCTTCCCTGTTGAAAGTACGCGAACCAAAGATGATTTTCCAACATTGGGAGCACCGACGAGACAAAGAGTTGGTGTTTCCAGATTGATAACTGGCATTGCCCGTAATGTCTGTCACCATTAAATTTTGTCAGACTGGCAGAAACCACTGAAACTTTTCTGTTTGACTTCGAGAGCAAAGATCCTTGCTTAAAAACATCTCTATTAAGAAGTCCAATGAAAAGCTTTCACACAATTAGGAAGATAGCTATAATGACTGGTAATGTTACTATATTTAGTAGTAAATCATAGACAGAGATGTTTGATATGATCGCTTCATGTCTGTTTTTCTTCTGAACATCCTTCTAATTTAAAAATGAAGGTCCATGATAATAGCTGTTTGAAGGTTCATTCCAGTTTTCAGTATACTAATGTCAGCATAGATCTAACCACTTCTTTCAACTTTTAGTTCGGCTCAAGGCCTTCATAGACTCATACTTCCTAGCTTCATTATATCTAACTGGCCTTACCTTGGCAATGTTCAATAGTTCATCAACAGCTTTTCCATCACGACCAAAAATTTCCTCAATTCTTTTCATTCCCTACAAAGATATCCTATTACTTATCAACTTATGGATTATATCAAATCAATAAGAAATTCAGTAAAAATGTGAAACTATCAGCCTACCTCATTCAACCGCTCCTCTGCTTCTCGTTTAGATAATGACTGCCATAAATTGCATCAATTACTTGATTTGCATCTTATGCAGAAATGTAAATTGTAAAGGTAGAACATAAGCACTTCTTAAGTTAATAAAAATACGTCATCAAATCAATAATGAGAAAATAGAACATATCATTTGCTTGTAAACACCACCCAAGGGATCCTGATGTATGCTAAGACCTTGGTAGCCATTATTTGTATTTCAAAGAAAAAATTGTGACCATGTTTCTTTAGCTACAATCTACATAAAAGTGGTAATGCTGAGGTGGTGGTAATTGTTAGGAAGGTAGAGAAGTTGAATCAAGAATTTGGAGTGGATAATGCGTTTGCCACAAGGAAAGGCTAACTTGAGTACTTGACAGGACTACCTTTTCCCCTTAAGAAGAGTCATTCAATTGTATGTCCCATAGATAGTTAAGGTTTCAGAAGATCTTTGGCCCAAATAGGCCTTGCATCTATTTGAATTATTACTGACTGAAAGCATGAGAGAGAGTGAACCCTAATCAACCAATGAGGAGAGTCAAATTCAGCAAGGAAGGGTGGAGAAAGGAATATTCATGACCTGTTCTCCATTGCCACTTTGCTTGAAAACTTTTACACAGCTCTTTATCTCTTATTACCTTCCATCCAAATAAGCAATCAGGAGCTATAGAGCTTTAGAATTTTCTCTGTTTCCTCTGCAATTACACCTCATCTATTCTTACATACTTGACAAAGTCTTAGTTTTATTCTTGTGAGAATGCACGGGAGAAAATATTATTATTGATGTTATTGACACATACAATGAGCCCTATATATACATAACATGTCCTACTCCTAATACATATGGGATTAGAGTTATTTACTCCTATTTACATAACTATTCTAACACTCCCCCTCAAGCTGGTGCATATAAATCATATGTACCGAGCTTGTTACATATGTAGTTAATACGAGGACCAGTGAGGGACTTGGTGAAAATATCTGCAAGCTGATCATTCGATTTCACAAACTTTGTAGTAATATCTCCCGAAAGTATCTTTTCTCTGACAAAGTGACAGTCAATCTCAATGTGTTTAGTTCTCTCATGGAACACTGGATTTGACGCAATATGAAGAGCAGCTTGATTATCACACACAAGTCCCATCTGACTAATCTCACCAAATTTCAACTCCTTGAGCAACTGTTTGATCCAAATTAGCTCTTGTGTCGCCATAGCCATCGCTCGATATTCTGCTTCTGCACTAGACCGAGCAACCACATTCTGTTTCTTGCTCTTCCATGACACCAAATTTCCTCCTACTAAGACGCAATATCCAGACGTAGAACGTCTATCAGAAGGTGATCCTGCCCAATCAGCATCTGAGTATCCAACGATCTGCTCATGGCCTCGATCCTCAAACAATAAACCTTTGCCTGGAGCTGATTTTATATACCGAAGAATGCGAACAACTGCATCCCAATGACTATCACACGAAGAATCCATAAACTGACTCACAACACTCACAGAAAAGGAAATGCCAGGTCTTGTCACTGTAAGGTAATTTAATTTACCAACCAACCGTCTATATCTTGCAGGATCGCTAAGAGGCTCCCCCTGTCCTGGCAGAAGTTTAGAATTCGGATCCATCGGAGTATCAACAGGTCTACAACCTGTCATTCCTGTCTCCTCAAGAATATCTAAGGCATACTTTCGTTGTGAGATCACAATACCTGAGCTAGACTGAGCGACCTCAATACCCAGAAAATACTTTAGTTTGACCAGATCCTTAGTCTGAAAGTGTTGAAAGAGATGTTGCTTCAATTTAGTAATACCATCCTGGTCATTGCCGGTAATAATAATGTCGTCAACATAGACCACCAGATAAATACAGAGACTCGAAGCAGAATGCCGATAGAATACAGAGTGATCAGCTTCACTCTGAATCATGCCAAATTCTCGAATAACTGTGCTGAACTTACCAAACCAGGCTCGATGAGACTGCTTTAGACCATAAAGTGACCGACGCAAGCGACATACAAGGCCACGAGACTCCCCCTGAGCAACAAACCCTGGTGGTTGTTCCATATAAACTTCATCCTCAAGGTCACCGTGTAAAAAAGCATTCTTAATGTCCAGCTGATAGAGGGGCCAATGGCGAACAGCAGCCATGGATAGAAAAAGGCGGACTGATGCTATCTTAGCCACAGGAGAGAAGGTATCACTGTAATCGAGCCCAAATATCTGAGTATATCCTTTGGCAACAAGACGAGCTTTAAGACGATCAACCTTACATCCGGACCCACCTTGACTGCATACACCCAACGACAACCAACAGTAGATTTACCTGAAGGAAGAGGGACGAGCTCCCAAGTACCACTCGTATGTAAAGCAGACATCTCGTCAATCATAGCCTGTCGCCATCCTGGATGAGACAATGCTTCACCTGTAGACTTAGGGATGGAAACAGAGGACAAAGAAGATAGAAAAGCATAATAGGGTGATGACAAACGATGATAACTCAAACCGACATAATGGGGATTAGGATTAAGGGTGGTCCGTATACCTTTCCAAAGTGCAATCGGTGTACTAGGAAAAGACAAGTCCGCAGCAAGAGCAGGGTCAGGTGCAGGACGTGAATCAGCTGGGCCTGATGCTGGGTGCGGACGACGATGATATGTCAAAAGTGGTGTTCCTGTGGCAGGGAGTCTAGGAGGAGCCACACTAGACTCCTCAACGGTTGGAATGGGTAAGACTTCTTAGCGGAAGGTGAAGGAGGAGCTATAGTAGACTCGGGTAAGACTTCTGTGGCGGAAGGTGAAGGCGGAGCTATAGTAGACTCGGGTAAGACTTCTGTGGCGGAAGGTGAAGGCGGAGCTATAGTAGACTCCTTAAAGGTCGGTATAGGTAAGATCTCAGAGATATCAAGGTGGTCAGAATGGTCAGAAGAGGTAAAGAAAGGTTTAGACTCAAAAAATGTGACGTCAGAGGACATAAAGTACCTACGAAGATCAGGTGAGTAACAACGATATCCCTTCTGAACACGAGAATAACCAAGGAAGACACACTTGAGAGCACGAGGAGCTAACTTATCTTTCCCAGGGGCTAAGTTATGAACGAAACAAGTGCTCCCAAAAACACGAGGGGGAACAGAGTATAAGGGTGATTGGGGAAACAATACGACATACGGTATCTGATTCTGGATGGGAGAGGAAGGCATCCGATTAACTAAATAACAAGCTGTGAGAACTGCATCACCCCAAAAACGCAACGGAACATGAGATTCAATGAGAAGTGTGCGAGTAGTCTCAATGATGTGCCTATTCTTTCTCTCCGCAACCCCATTTTGCTGAGGGGTATAAGGAAAAGAGGTCTGATGAATAATTCCTTGAGAAGTCATAAACTGCTGAAATTGAGAGGATAAATATTCTAAGGCATTATCACTGCGAAAAGTGCGAATAGAAACACCAAATTGATTTTTAATTTCAGCACAAAAATTCTAGAATATAGAAAACAACTCAGAACGATCTTTCATTAAGAAAATCCAAGTACATCTTGAATGATCATCAATGAAACTAACAAAATAACGAAATCCCAAGGTTGAACTGACTCTACTAGGACCCCATATATCAGAATGAACTAAAGAAAAAATAGACTCTGCATGACTCTCAATACTACGAGGAAAGGAGGCTCGGGTATGTTTCCCGAGCTGACATGACTCACACTCTAATGTGGATAAACTAGACAAACTAGGCACCATCTTCTGAAGCTTGGATAAGCTTGGATGTCCTAAACGTCTGTGAATTAGGTTCGGAGGATCTGTAAATAGACATGCCTTGGAGGAGTTTAGTGAGTGAAGGTAGTAAAGGCCTTCTGATTCAAGTCCTGTTCCAATCGTCTGCCCCGTACAGCGGTCCTGCATAATAAAGGAATCATCAATAAAATATATACCACAATGGAGGGCACGAGTCAAACGACTAACAGATGCAAGATTAAAAGGACAGCCAGGGGCATAGAGAACGGAATCTAGAGTGACAGAGGGTAGGGGATTCGCTTGTCCAACTCCTTTTGCTTTGGTTTGAGACCCATTGGCTAAAGTAACAGTGGAAGAGACTGTGAATACGCAATATTTGACAAAAGTGATTTATTACCAGAGATATGATCAGAAGCGGCTGAGTCCACAACCCATTGTCCAAGAGTATTAGACTGGGAAACACAAGCAAAAGAATTACCAGCAACAGAAGTATCAGTCTAAGCAACAGAGGCTACTTGTGGAGATGTCTGCTTACTTGCTTGATACTGAAGGAACTCATTATACTCCCCTTCAGATAAAGAAAATCCATGGTTACCTGTAGTCTCAGTCTGAGCAACATAAGCATTTTTGGGTGGGCGGCCATGTAAAGAATAGCACACGTCACGAGTGTGTCCAAGTTTATGACAATAAGAGCACTTGGGTCTAGATCTTCCAAAACGACCTCCTCCTCGTCTATTCTCCATAGTATGAGATGTCCGATTGTCCACTGATTGGGATACGAGGACAGATGAGTCAAGTGTCTGTGATGAGCTCACTGGGTGACTAGGTGCTGCAGCAAGGCGAAGTAATCGAGAGAATAATTCATCAACTGTGGGGACAGTCGGACTAGCCAAAATCTGGTCACGTACTGAATCAAGGTCATTAGGGAGTCCAGCGAGTGTAAGAACTAGAAACATCTTCTGTCGTTGCTCTTGTTGCTTTTCATACTAGCAGAAACTAGCATCAACTTCTCAAATTCTTCCATGACTGCCTGTACTTGTCCCAAGTAAGTAGACATATCCAATTCCCGTTTCTTCAAGCTTGTCATTCGCGCTATTACATCATAGAAACGAGATATGTCATTAGTGTATAAATTACGAGCCTTTTCCCAAACTAAATAACATGTCTGGAATGGACGGACAAGGGCATCAACTTGGAATCAATAGATCGCCACAGGATACTACATAATTGAGCATCTACCTTCTCCCACAGTGCTTTGGCCTTTTCATCACCTTCGCTAGCCTTTTTTGTTAAATGATCTTGAACTCCTTGACCTTTACACCACAACTCGACAGACGAAGCCCAAGCTAAGTAGTTTGAACCTCCCATTAAAGGTTCTGAGGTAATCATAACACCGGAATTGCCAGAACCCGGGTTTCTAGACCCGAAAGCATCGACTCCCAAAGACATGGTTGGATTATCACCAAATAACAAAAAGAATCAACTGACAATTCGCTGAAACAGATGAAGGAAACACTGTGTTTGCCGGAAAAGTACTGTAGCTGCCGGAAAAAATCAGTGTAGTCGCCGGAAAAACCCAAAGTGGTCGGAATTGAAAAATAAAATTATGGGTAGGCTCGGAATTTGAGGGCGATCCAACTGTCCTGAAGGAACTTCGTCAAAAAATGGCCGGAAAGTGGTGCACGCGCCGGCGCGTGGACTCACGCGCGTGGGCTTCTGGTGGCGTGTGGAGGCGCGTGGAGTACTGTTTGCCGGAGATTTTTTCTGGGGTTTGGTCGCCGGACAGTGGCGACTCTTGTGGTAGTGTTCGATTTTGCACAACACTGACAGAGACGAAGCAGACGCAAACAAGCTTGAAAAAGTCGCCGGAAAAAGGGTTCCAGTGACTGATTTCTCTTCCCGGAATCGCTGGAATTTATGCACTGCGATAAATCTCTCACAATTGCTCTGATACCATGTGAGAATGCACAGGAGAAAATATTATTATTGATGTTACCGACACATACAATGAGCCCTATATATACATAACATGTCCTACTCCTAATACATATGGGATTAGGTTATTTACTGCTATTTACATAACTATTCTAACAATTCTCACCCGTCCAAACCAATGTAGCACCTTGTCAAGTTGAAAATTAAGAAATTCTGCTGCTATCACTCATACACAAAAGATGTTACCATGAATGAGATAACAAATTCAAGACACTTCGGCATCCTTGACTAGTTTGCCTAATTTCTCTTTTTTCCACCACAATACAGACAGTAGAGCTCTATTTTATTTGCAGCATTTGTGTGATGTCGGCCAAAGAGGTTCAATAACGCCACTGCAGGGTAGAGGATGTCAATAGATCAGACCCAAAGAAAAGAAGAAAGAAGCTGGGCCCAAAGGTGAATTAAAGAGATTAGACAGCAGTGTGACTTATGCACTTATGCTAAGAGATAGATAGTTTTGTTTAGTGTAGAAAGGGTGACTAGATGGAGCCTAATCTTTTATGCAGGTCAAAGTATACCAGTAGCTTCCTGGATGCTTTCCTAATAACATAGAATACTTATCCGGAAAAAAAGAATGTTACCAAGAAAGGTATTTTACCTAAGAATGCTTCAAAATGAAAAACGGGAGAGGCCGGGAGGGGGAGGAGAAGACTAGCAGCAAACAAAAAAAAGTAGGTCACTATTTTATGCAACCAGTTTTCCAACCTTTGCACATAATGATGCATGTTCCTTTCCAACTGATACCACCCTTTTCCTTAAAGCTTCAAGCTTTCCTAAAACCTGCAAAGTGTAGTTACTTAGATGTAAGACATGAAAGAGACAAACCAAAAATAGAGCTATAAATACCTAGGATTGAGAAGAAAGGGGAAAAAAGGAGATAGATCTATTAATAGGAAAAGCAGAAAATTACAAGAAATTGATCTCACTCAAACATTAGCGTACTTCTTTTTTTTTTTTTGAGAAAAGCATTAATGTACTACTTGTAAATGTAGACCACTCAATTCACCAGAAAAGTCACTAAGTCACAAGTATTAGTTTGTCTGATTCAACCAGTCAACTCACAATTATCATAGTACCATCATTGTGTCACAAATGCTGAACAGAATTTAGTACAGCTAAAGAACTTCAGATAATTTTAGAGTTACAAGCAACTAAATTTTTCGTTAGCACATGCAAGAAATGAAACCCATAAACCCTCTGAGAGGGGGTCGAGGATATCCAAATTTCTAGTTTCGATGAATACAGAAAAATGAATCCAGACCTGAAAATTAGTCAAACCAACTAAACAGCCCAACAGAATCATTTCAAATCTGTCAAAGAGACATGTGAAATAATTACACAAACTCAAAGTTTTACTAAGATTAGCTAAAAACTACATAAGACACTACAAACCCCAAGATATATGCTCCTAGCACTAATCCTTTTTTCTTCTTTATTGTGTTATAATTTTTCAGGACAAAGAGACATCAAAAACTTCCAGTTTAACTACCTATACTTTTCTGAAGAGTAAAATTATTAAACGTTCAAAGCTATAAAGCTTTCCTGGTAGGAAAAAAGTTCTGATGACCTAGAACAAACGTTATTTGGAAAAAGATACTAGAGTGACTGACATTTACCTCTTCATAGTTTCCATCTCCAAGCGTTAACTCAATCAATGATCGTTCATAAGGGTGCAAATATCTTTTGTTTGGGAAGTTCTCCTTGTATGTTCTCAAGGGCACAGCTATCTCCTGCATACAGAAATGAATGACAAAATGTAAATTATGTTTTCAAACTATAGATGTATCCTCCAACAAGAAGGAATAGTCTTGTCGAGAACCTGACCTTCATTAATGCGTCAAGTTGTTTTGCGCCTCTATTTCTCTCGCGTTTTGCAAGATTAACAATGCCTATTAAACATTTAACTAGATGTCATAATTTCTTTCATCGATGCTTGAATCCAACACAAAAATTGAAACTATGACAAAGTGGGGAAGGATATACAATATAGACGCAAAGCAAAAGATTACCCTTTGTAGGCGAGACCCTCTTTGCTTTCTTCAGTGCTGAATGTAGAATATCTACAGATGGCATCACCATCGGTAATTTTTGAAATGCACCTATCTTTTCTACCTCCGGCGCCAATTTTTCCTACAAGAACATGAGAATCCCTTCCAATTTCCATGTGAACACAAAATGAACAGTGCATCCATAAAGCAAAGTCTATCCCATTAAACAGGACAGAGGTAATTCATACTCTCTGCGTCCCAAATTATATGATAGTATTTCCTTTTAGTCTATGCCAAAAAGAATGACATTTTTCCATATGAGATTATTTATATCCACACAAATATCTATAGCTTGTTTTGGAACACAAAGTTTCAAAAAAAATTCTTTCTTTCTTAACTTCCGTGCTTAGTCAAGCAACATCACATAAGTTGAGACAGGGAGAGTAATAAGTAGCCAACTCTAAAACTAATTCCGCTAATAGTAGAATTCCAAATGTGAGATTAAAGGAGAAGATATACCTTTTTTTCTTGTTGGTCCTGTGTATTTGATACTACATAGCTTCCTTTCACAATTTCATAAGTAGTAGTCTGCATTTGCTTACAGAAGCATGACACTGGATACAATACACGCACAGGCACCAAGTACAGACCTGCAAACCGCAACAACACACTCGAATATTTCTCTTATTTCAAAGATAATACTATGAAGTAACTATTAGGAATTTTCTCAAATGAAATTAGATAAAATAAAAAATAAAATTAAAAAAGAGTACCTTTAGAGAGCTTAGAACGTCCAGAAAACAGAGATGAGGAAGGAAATTGCCATAACTGAAAGAGACTTGAAGTTCCGCTCATTTCTCTTTCTCTCAGAGCTCTCTTCTACTGGAATGTTAAATGAGGTTTAAGCGCTGAGATTTTCTGAGCTATGAATATCCATCCAAGGAAAAATTTGGCCCAACACAGATAAGTCGGGTTTTTGGTGCTCCGATGCGGCTCAAGTGCACAAATAGCCCCTTTTGAGGCGATTGTTTATATTTTATCGTGTTCTAAAAGGGAGAAATTCAAAAATAGCCAGATTTACAGGTGGTCGTTCAAAAATAGCCTAGTTTTAAAAATAATCGAAATTTAGCCACTTTTCATGCAAAGATAAATCTGAGCGAAAATACTGTTCAAAACCCGAAAAATACGCCAGTATATTATGCCGGAGTTCCAGCATAAGTATACTTAAACTCCAGCATATTATACTGGAGTTCCAGGATAAGTATGCTGGAACTCCAGCATAATATGATGGAGTTCCAGCAAAGTATATCGTTCCAGTATAATATGTTGGAAGTTCATACACAAGTGCTCGAATCTCCAGTATATTAAGCTGGAACTTTCCGTGTGTTGGAGTTCCGGCATAATATGCTGGAAGTTCATACACAGGTGCACCGAACTCCGGTATATTATGCTGGACCGGTCTCTGTTGCAGCAAAATAGTGGCTATTTTTCATTGACTTGGTAAACGCTGGTTATTTTTGAATGACCAGTCCGAAAACTGTCTAGACCGTGCTATTTTTACGTTTTAAAAAGTTTTCAATATTAACCCATACGCTACAAAATTTAAAAAAGTTTCTAACGGATTTCAGTACTTTAGAAGTTAGATCAAATTTGATCATGCATCTTTTGTAATTCCTTTACAACTTTTGATTGTCGGATCTTAAGTTCCCCGTGAACTTGGGTGAATTCTCTCGCTTATGAAGCGGGAAGTTATAATTTACAAAGCTTTTTTATTTTAAAAAAAATGGGACAATATAATTTAGCTGCCTAAAAACAGGAATATCCGATGAAATAAATATTTTTCAATTTCAACTTTTATACTCTCTTTTTTCAACTTAACCAAATAGTATTATCACAATGCTAATAAGGTAAAGAAGTTGTTTCGTTCGTCTCATTTTATGTAATGCACTATCCTTTTTAGTTTGTTCCAAAAGGAATGACACCTTTTTTATTTTTTGAAAAATTTAGATTTAAACTTTTTTTTTTTTTTACCTATAATGACATGATTTACGACCTGCATGACAAAGTTGTAACAAAATTTAGATGTAGACACCTATGATTGTTATCCAAAAGGTCCAACAATGTGGTTTTATGTTTACGTGATTTGTAGTAACATACGTGTACATATATAAATTTGATCCTGAAAGCCAATTCTGATTGGGCAAAAGATGAATACCAATGCATTTTTTAACAGCATATTTTATGAGCTTAGCCTATTTATCATGAATGGTAAAGGGGATAAAGAAATGTGAGTTGGAGGCAAAGTTGGCGTGGTTAATGTTTATTATTAACCATAAATCAGATCCACCAGACAAGAAATTCATGTTGTTGAGTTGTCTTGATTTATCCACTAGAGAAATTGTTGAATTTCTGTAAATTTCGTTTGAGGAATCTACCAACGATAGGCAGATAAATAGACTCATTTCTGCTGCTAAACAAAAGCAAATGATTGTTCTATAACTTGCACCCTCTGGTTTATGCAAGTACTAGTCCTCTCACTACCAATCAGCATACATCATCTGCCTAGGTCTTAACTTAAACTCCACTTGAATAATATGGAAACCAAAAGAACATATATATCAAAAGTACTAGTACAAAATGGAGAGGAGATGCCCGAGCAAAATGGCATATGCATATATGTGGTAGCTCAGTCATTCACAAACATGTCATTAAGCAACAATCCACTAACATTATGATGATAACTTCTAATACAATCAAAGAATATATGCTGTCAAATGATGACCAAGGAGCAACTACTATCACTGTAATCTAACCCGTGAATTGCACTATTTTACAAGAATGACTGGCACCCAATCTCATCGAACCCACGATACAGATTCAATTTCATCTCTAGCTTTCTTGTATAATTCAAGCCTCTTAGCACATTGCACTCTTTTCTCCATCAAAGCCGGGTCTTCATCTAACAATTCTGCAAGTGCCTTGCCCTGAAAATTTCCCGAAAATTATTAGCACTACCTTGGACATTAAAAGGATGATCAAAATAAAAGTTGTATCTGACACCCCCTTAGAATTGTAACTAGTTCAGATTGGAAAATATGAATGAGATAATAAAAGAACTTAGTTTATTGATTGCAGATACAAGACTTTTGGAAAAGTAAATGTTGCAGCCATTATCACTTGAACAGACTGAACTCTAATGTTACCCCGCCTAGCTTCTTATTCTGCAGAAGATTTATTTTAATTTTTAACACCTATAACTCAGATGTATTCTCTTGCCAAAGAGAAGAAAAAGAAGATTCAAGAACGTCAAGAATTTCAAGTTGGCAATTACTATGATATGCTTGACCCACGTCAGTCACTGATTTTTTAGTTCGAAGCACAAAGCTACCGACAGTAACTTTAATCTTCAGACAACAGAGCAAAACTTACATCAACACTTGCATCACCATTCTAAAGCTACTCGTGTCAGTGTATCCAGCACATTAAACGACTAGTTTTTACTATATTGCGTATTCAAATTAAGCTAAACAAAAGTAAAAGAGTTTCATCCGAAAGAACATAAACCATAATTTGAAGTATCATGTATCAAACTACGCCAAATATAAATACCAATCAGAGGCGAAGAAACTACCTCTTTCTTCCCAATTTGAATGTAGAAGTGATTTAGTAGAGATTGTTTGGCCTCCTTAACTTGGCAATAAACCACTGCTTTAGGGATAGTGTTTCTCAGCGTATCGGTCACCATATTTACATAAGATGATACATTGGAACCAATCCTCCTAAAGTGACCCTCTGCATACCGGTCTACAGCAGGAGTAGCTGCTGGATTTCCCCCTTTAGTCGTTGCTGGATTCCCCCCTTTCTCCACTTCCTGAGGAAGTTTTCTGAAGAAATCCACTGTCAGATAAGAGGATTCCATGTCCACCAGTCTTAAGACTGTCTTTCTACCTTCATCACGAAATTTTTCCAAGGCTTCATACGAGGCCACAGCTATTGCAGATTGCAAACTGGGAAACCGCTTCAACTCCTGCTCCATCAACATATTAGAGAAGAGAGAAGGAGAGGAGGAGGCTTGGAAGGGGAGGAGGAAGGATAGAGCTTAACCCTGACTGTAGGGTCAACATTACCTGACATTCTCCGACTGAGTTCCTCACAAGTTCCTTTAAGACAAAGTGAACCTAATAAATGAATCCTTGGTCAGTTATTCATTGACTTAATACTGTCTCAAGAAGAAGCATGTATATCAGTTGACTCCAATAGACTTCAAAATAAGTACTTACAGCATCTACTGAGGCTTCAGCTGGCCCTCTAAAATAATTTAGTGCTCCCTCAATAAGCCGTCTATAACCTTGCTCAGGTGCAATCAAATGAGGCTGATATCCATCTGCCTCTGAGACAACTTTTCTCACATTTTGTATTGAAAGATGCCGGTCAAATGGGAGTTTTCTTAAAGCAGCGGGAAGCTGATTGTCAAAAACTCCATAAATTCGATCACCTCCCGGTCGGCTGAAAGGAAAAAAAATCTCAAATAAATGAAATTAGGTATATCATTTAGCTGAATCTCATGTACATTCATAACTGAAAATGTACAATTGCGCATTAAAGGAGTATCTCCAAATAAGCTTTCTCCCTTGTGCATTATGGTAATCTACTTGAGCTCCTTTCCATTGTTGTAGTTTCTTCCCCAATTTGAACTTACAGGTTCCATAAGTTGCATTTGATTTTGTTTTCACTTTCTAATGCCCGCTTAAAAAACAATTTCTTTCTACTCTCTGATAGCTACCAAAAATCTATCCACTTCTCTCTTTTGAATTATTTCTAACAATGAGTAAAGAGTACTTACATGTATCCATCTTTTTGACAGCTATTATATCTAAGCGTCATTCTGGAACTTAGCAAAAACATGTAAGCTTATACATCAATTCCCACCAACATATAAGGGGTGTGTGCCACATTAGAGCTAGTATCCACTAGTTTGCCCTCATTTTAAAGCAAGGATTAGAATGAGCGAAATGCCCAAGTCTTCTTTCTCTTTTCTCGAGGAGTCTGGAAGAAAAACCATTCAGAAAAATCAAACTTCTTACAGAATATACTGTACCATCACTATTCTATAAAAGCCAAGGCATCCTTTACCTCTTACCCTTTTAGAAAGGGCGAGCACCCTCAAACGAAAACTGTATGTGTACACTGTCTGGGTTTACATTCATCTTCAACAGACCAATAATCCAAATTTTCATCAGTCTTTTTATTTAACTAGAGGACTAGGCTTTCAAAGACCCCAAAACCAAGTCAAAAGTCTGTTAGCCTAGTTCGGATGGCCCAGGCAAATATGGGAAAACAGAATAACAGTGATAGTAAGATGGACCAAGGAAGAAGCATAAACAATGAGTTAAAAGAATATACAAACTGTTTTCTATGTAGAATAATAGACAGAAGGTTTGTCCACAAATCTTAATGATGTTGTGTGCTGCTCCACTCACAGAGCTCGCCATTTCTTTCATTCTTGTCTTGACATTTTAATTAGTAAATGTTACAGGATTTTAACAGAAGTTACAACATGTTATTAGAACGTGGTCTGTTAAGGTCCAAGCATTATTGAAAGTTAATAAACACTGATTTAAAGGTAAACAATACATTCTGAATAAACTAGTAAAGGGCATAGACAGATGACATTTTTACAATTACAGATTATTTTCCGAGAAGACATCCTTTTATGTATTTGCCAAGAAATGCTATAGCAAGCTATATAGTTGAACTAGTTCCATGAATGAGAACATGATTACGTCACATGAACAATTTTAACCCACAAAACCCAAGGCAAGTGCAAGTTTGAATTCCTCAGATATACCAAAGTTACCTGATTACAAATCAAAGTAAGGGAAAAGGATAAGTGATGCACATACCCTCCATCCAGATGCTCCTTAAATATCTTGTCAAAAGCACGGCAAAGTTCCAAGATAGTATACAAT